GGCCAGGTGGTATAGTCGCGTCCAACTCTGGCGTTGAAATCTCTAAGAATGATGTACTTGTCACATTCTGGTATTGCTCTGATGATTGTGGATAGCTTCTCATAGAAGGCTTCTTTTGAGGCCACTGTGTGCTGCATCGTCGGTGCATAGACGCTTATTAAATGGAGAGAGCGTCTTTTGCAGAGAGGAAGACGAAGCGATATGATACGATCTGAGTAGCCGACTGGAAGCTCAGCGAGTTTGATGCTGGTTTTGATGGCAAAGCCAACACCTGATTCACGCTTCTCGGAAGAGGGTTTCCTTTGCCAGTAGAAAGTGTAGCCGCCTGCCTTCTCAGTGAGAGTCCCAGGGCCATGGAGTCGTGTTTCACTGAGGGCTGCAAAATCGACATTATATCGTTGTAGTTCACGTGCTACAAGTGCAGTAAAACGTTCAGGACATACATTTCCTGGATTGTCGTTTAGTGTTCTCACGTTCCAGGCCGCGAGTTTTAGGTTTTTTTCTTGGTTTCTACCGCATAAGTGAGTATCCCCCAGCCGCGGTATGCTGGGCAGATCAGATGTAGAGAGCGTGGTACCCCACCTTTTCTAGGGGCTCCCCCGGATTGGGGGAGGGTGCGCGTCCCTAAATAGGGCATCCTCGCCGCTTGAAGAAATACCAAAGGCTAATAATAGTAATATCTCTGTTCTATCGAGCGATTGTTAACTACCAAGCCGCCAGCGATCGAGCTATGCACTAGAGGCTCCCAGCGAACTAAGCCTACCCCCGTCATGTGTCACCTGTACCGATGGACTTTAACACAGACTGCATACACAGTGAAAAAAGCATGCTTGTGTCATTCATGCCTGAGGGTCTTGGCTTCATGGCTCCATCTTCAGTGGCACGAATGATCGAGACGACTGTAAAACCATAAAGTAGCAGGGAAAGGCCGTCGACGCAGTATTCCGTGAGCGTCCTTGGGGGAGGTTTTTCCCATTACGTCGTTCACCATTTAAGGTGAAAAAACCTGTAACCCTGGGTAGGGGCCTTTACCGGGTGCTATCAGCCGGAGCCAGCTGAACCCGGGTCTCACGTTGGCAGGGTCGACACACCCTGAAGTAGTACCATACACAAGACAATTGACATGTGCAACTTGCTAATGTCAGTGCTATCAGTTATGTATGGTAGTCAGGGATGCTCCAAAGAAACACTAAGGAAAAACAATACTCTAGCGTGTAAGAGGATATTATGATACTTACTACTTAGTGTATACAAAATTGTATATGCCTGCTGCTGCATATTTCTATTATCAGTTATTATATCTTTTGTCTATAAACGTCGAAGATGAGCACTTGTAGGTAGGTTGTAGGACAATAAATGAATAATGATATACAGTGTAGCCCTGTTATAACACGATGGTTGGGGTCCAGAAAATGTCATTGTGAAAAAAGATATCGCGTTAAATCGAGGCGCGTAAAATCGGGGTTCCACTGTATATAAGATGTTGCAGCGATTTGCTAGAGTTAATAAATAGGAATCGTCCTCATTCTGTAGGCTGCAGTGCAAAAGTTTAATAGTGCAACTTCGTTTGCTGTCGCACATGTAGTGGTGCCGCCGGTGATGCAAGCAAGCAATCATCAACTATTTTTAAAACATTATGTATTGTAATTTATGCCTGATTTAACAAAAAATCTTTAGCAAACCTATGGTAATATGCCCCTTTAAGTGGAAGGTGACTGAACGGAAGTGGCAAAACCTGTTGGGGGCAGATTTTTTAGTTTTGAATTAAACTGTATTGTCCTACAATCTTGGTTATTTATTCATTATTATCGTACCATAACACACTTCATAGAACTGAAAAGATTATTCTTACCTGAAAGTGTATTATTAACAGCTAACTGCACAAAAATCCTGGGAGTTGGCTCCTAATGAAAACCAAATGATGTCTCCAGTGGCTGATATCTAGCCACAAAATTGCTCAATAATCAAATATATTCATAGGCTACATTTACATTGTATGTATCCTGACTATTGAATGTGTTCCTTGTAGTGCTCTTCCCTGCTGCCTAAATCCGCTAAAATAATGAGTTTTAGCAGCCAGTCTGCGAATAATATAATAACAATAAGCTGGATGCAAGAGAATGAGACTATATTTAATTTAAACTAATCCTTTTCGTGCTTGTCTCGGAGTTCAGCAATCCTGGATAGCTTGTGCTATAGGCATTCATAGATTGGTGTGCGTGTGTGCGTGAGCTAGTGGTTACTGTCGAAAAGGTGAATGAAAGTAATCATTAGCAAAAGTTTACTATTGTTGAGTGATAATTTCTTGAATGAAAGTAATGCTAATTTCATATCTGTGTTGCAGGATGATCATGAAGACTTATCACAATCGTGTCACAATGTGAGTTGTATTCCAAGTAAATACAGTAAAAGTTAAAATTTGAGGTATACTTTAGTGCACATTATTAATATCCTTAGGGTAAGTAAACAATCTGTTGAATGCTTTGGTGGTTTTTATATTGTTTATCAATCAAATATTCTACCCAGAACAATTTAAGCTAATTTTGTGTATAATATATTTGTGCAGTTAGTTTGGAATTTCAAGAAGAATCTGACAACAGATGATCGCTTTATGGAAGCAGCTAAAGATATTTGCAGTGGGACACTAAAAGAGGTAATCTGTATGTGTGTGCGTGTGTGTGTGTGTGTGTGTGTGGTGCATGCGTGCGTGGCTGCATGCATGTGTGCGTGCGTGCTTCTGTCAAATGCTGGTATAGTACTCCATGTATTTCTATTTTAAGAAAGAAATAATTATTCATCATAGAATAATAAGAACTATAAATAACATTTTCTATCGAATATTGTTTTGTCTTCCAAGCTTGTTTAAGTAAGTGAAAAAGCCGAAGCATACCTATGTCAGTAGTGCTAACTGTTTGGGTTGTCACTTACAGGTTGACTAGAATAGACAGTCTCTGAAATCACTGCCCTATGTTAAGAAGAAGTTCTGACTGACCAACGCTGCTTGTTTTTTGTTCAGAGAGCAACTTGTATGCTTGATTGGTGGATGTAATTAATATTCATAATTGCTTTCAAGCACCCGGAGTGTGTCACGAATGCAAAGGGACATCTGGTGTCATGCTTGTTCGATTACAAGGAGAACCTGACAGAGGTTTCTTGCAAGCAGTTTCTCGGAAAGATGGAGGGGATTGTTTTTAGCGACTACCGTCTAATCTACAAGTTTACGGACAATTGTGGTGCTGAAATCAGCAGGCTTGGTTGTGGGCGTCTTGCTGGCTTAAATGATGAGGTATGTTGTGATAGTAAAAGTGACTACTTATTTCGTGTGTGGAGAATGTGTATATTGGATTATGGCCACACAAGTCTCAATCAGTGTAAATATGCACAAATGTAATATCTAAAAGTTCTGTGTTGACTGTTAAAATGGCACCATGTTTCTACCACCAAAATAATTGAATTCACTTAACTGGTTTACATTATGATCGCAAATTTATCAGCATTTTATTTGCATGTTTTGCATTATAGTCTACCATTCAAATACAAAATGTATATTTTGCCATAAATCGTATACAAATGATATGCCCTAGCATTACTACTGCTGTATCACTTAGCAGCGGTTTTCTAGATGGAGATGTATACATTTTGCATAGGCCATAAGTCGTTTTCATTTTGCTCCAGCTGCAGCACTCTCAAGGTGCGACGATCGAGTGTCTCGCGAAGCACATCGATGAGAAGGGAGGTCTGAGCAGCATGTGCGAGAAGCAGATCCTACGCATCGCGGAGCTCCAGTCTGAGGACTTCCACCTCGACCGGCCACTCTACTTTGCATGTCGCGACGACAGGGAACGGTTTTGTGCAAACACGCCTGCTGGCGAGGGAAAGGTCTATAATTGTCTCATGAAACACAAGATGCTACGAGATATGTCATCCGAGGTGAGTGGTAGGTCTTGTTAAAAACGGATGTGTAACAGCAGGAATATATAAAATGGACAGTGTGTAACACCTACTTGACAGCATTTCTGATACTTGAGGCACTTGTTTTTCTAATAAAAATTTGGCATCAATTGAACAAAAATTGGTCTGGGCCAGAGAAAAGTGCTGGCGGCTGGCAAGCTCTGTCGAGTCCAATCTTCACAGTTTGTGGATTTTGGTTGTTGGTTGGGCCTGGGAAGGCATTTGTCATCTTCACGTGTTTGCTCGGCAACGAAAAGATGTGCAAACCATTCTGTTTCTGCACGACAGTGCCGTGAGATGCTGGTGACGCGCCAGAAGCTGGTGAACGTTGACTATAAGGTGAGCCGAGGGCTGGTGCGTGACTGCCGGGATGACATCAAGCAACATGAGTGTCAACCGGGAGCCGGCGGTATTGCTGAGGAGAACAAGCATGTGCGGCTGTCCTATGTGCTCCTGTGCCTCGAGACGGCCATGAAGAAAGGTGCGTGTCAGTAACGAGCAATGCTTTGTGTTCTATAAAGCCGTGCATTGATAGAAGAGATAGTGAGTTCTTGGCATATCGTCATACCATAACGTGTTCAGTGTTAGCAGAAATGGTCAACTTGTGGCATATTGTAACACTTTTGTTTCAAAGGCATAAGTGTCAAAATTTTGTCTGAGGCTGATATCTAGTATAGTGTGAATGACTCCATAGTGTGATGCTCACACATGTTGAACAACAGCAACAACTGCTTGATGTTTTTTGTTGTTGTAACTGAGACCTTTGAGGTGCATTCAAATATTTTGTATGAGTTTGTAAAAGAGCTGCATCATTATTTGTTATTGTCACACAGGTAAACCAGTTGCATCAACCTGTCAGGCACGAATGCTTGATCACAGAAAGCAATTGATGGAAGACTACAGCATCAGTCCAGACATAGTTCTTCATTGTAATAATGAAATAAAGAATGAGTAGGTGTCACATACATGTAGGGCATGTGTGAAATTTTTGACTCTTGCTAAGATTGAAATAAAAATGTTATTTTCAATACATATCTGTATTCTGTATGACAACATTGTGACTGGGAACTAAACTTGAAAAATATTGGTGTTTCTCCGTTTCATGTTGAAATTCGGTGACAGGTTAAACCAGGTTTGAGCTTGCCCAAGCCTACTGCTTTTGTTTGTGAAGTTTATGGTGGATTATTATGAGTTTTGGTGTTATTTCATGTTCATCAATATGCCAAAATATTGTCATCAAAAAGCTTTCAGTTCAAGTATATAGCACACATATGGAATATTAAGACAATATTGTGGTCTTGTAATAATAAATCCATGCTCACAGGTAGGCGATTGAAACTAATTGATAATCTTACATGCTAAAAGGATGAGCGGAATTTCTCTCGCCAATTTTCGTTGGATAATGGTGTTGATGGATTTAACATACACTGGGATGTGTGCTTAGACTGGTTTTATTAGAATCTTATATGCTTTTAGGTGCAAGGGTCTAGAAAAAGATGGAAAGACAATTCATTGTTTATTGGAGTTGGCACAGCCTCGAAAACAAAAAGATGAAATAAAGCAGGATCGCATGAGTGCACCATGCCGCAGAGAGGTATAGCATGTCTTATCCTGTCCTCCACATTGCATGCTTCTTGATGCAATGAATCCATCCATTACATCTCACAGAAAGGCAGAGCATGTCTTCTGCCCTCCACATTGCATGCTTCTTCCTGCAGTGTAATAGAGGCATTCCGTTGTCGCATCATAGGTGTTCTTGATTGATATTTGCAGTTGGAGAGTCTGCTGAAAGTGGCAGATGTAGGAAGTGATATAAGAGTAGATCCGATGCTGCAGGAGGCCTGCCAACCAGCTACTAATACATTTTGTCAAGACATTCCTGCTGGTGATGCAAGGTAACATAATTTATTTAGGTACAAACCAATCAGAAACCTCGTGCAGTATCCAGTGCTCAAGATAAGTGGTCGCGCGGTCTTCCAGTTGCCACAAGCAATTGAGAATGTCGTGGGGCAAGTGAACTTTACATGATTAATTCTATAGCTAGCTGTGTGCGAGTACACAACCACAATGGCTCGGTTCCGAATTATACAAACGTGCAGAGTTATAGCCACTGTTCGCTAGGTGGCTTCAACTTCCGGGTAGGTCACGCCAGCCATCACCCCACACCACTCATTGATCTCTATAATAACATCGTAGAGTTATTATAGAGATCAGTGACACTGACACCACCCCACAGTTTCCACAGCTACGCAGTGTTGTATGCATGTGTTACGTGTGTACCTAGTGTCAGTAGTGAACCGATGCCTTTGTTGACACGTCTTTTTTTAATTAAATAACGCTGTTCAAGGTTACCGCGGGCACAGATATTCGAGGACGGTAAGTGTAGTGATTTTATTCCATGCTTGCAACAGTATAAATATGCAAATATATCAGCCGAACCGGTACAGATTGACGAATTAAGACGGACGTGACCCAGTTCATTGTAAATTTGTTTACAACATGGTGAAAATACACTGAAATGACCGTACGTCGTTACATGACTGATTGCCGGTGTTATCTTGTACCACAAGTTGTGGACCTGGTCCTTCTAACGATATCTAGGTTTACTTTCATTTGCATTTGCACTCGTACGGATGCTTGGAGTTACGATCCAGAAAATATAAAATATGATTAAATCAAGCTTATTATTATAAAACCCCTCTCTCTCGCACGCACACACATATTAATAACATAGTCTTCGTTCATGTGTAGAGAGGGGGACTATCACATCCTTATTTACTTTAGCAATATAATATTACAAATCTGAGTCAATATATATTGTCTTGAATACAATTTTTTAGTTTAATTTATAAAATAATAAAAAAATAATGTAATTATATTTATAACTATTTTTTTCTCTGTTAGACTATAAATATATCTTTGCATATAAATACTTATAGGTTTATAGTCTAAGAATATGGAGCCAGGATATTTGGGCTATAATAAACACCTGATATTAAAAAAAAAACAACATTTAAACTGTTGAAAAGTTTGCCTGGTTTTGTGTCAAATAACTTGTATGTAGAGATTGTTAATCATTTAAACATCATTTAATAGCACATGATCATCATTATTTAATGTTTTTATTTTTGTATTTCAGATGGTGAAGAAATACTGCTGTGTGCCGCTATACCATAACACTTCCGATACAGTCGATCTCGATGGGAACAGGATCACAATGCGACGTTTCCCTATGGGCGAAAAACGAAAAGATGTCCGGAACCAGTGGATTAGAAGATTGAATAATAATAGGGCCAACTTTGTAGTAAATGACAACACACGGATCTGCTCGGAACATTTTGAGAACCCTTACACAGATACGTCAATTCCAACATTATTTCCTAGCAAAACACCGAAAGCACCTCTAAAGCAAAGGAGACCGTTAGTGCGGCACGATACGAATGCTGCCAGTACGTGCACAGTCGAACTCGATGGCACCTTCGACGTGGATGGATGAGAGGCGGCAATGGATTCGATACCTGACGAAAACATATCGCCAATGAAGAGATCCGATGATCAAGACGTCGAAGATACCAACAAGGAGTCAGAGTCGGATGGCCTTCCCAATACAGATGGCCTTCCAGGGAACAAATATTATGCAACTTGCCTGGAGCCTTTCGTGACTATCAGAGTGTTTGGATTATTCTAGATTGTACAGAATTTGACACAGAGAAGCCATCTTCACTAATTGCTCAGTGGACTACATGGTCAGAATACAAGCATTCAAACACTTAAGATCTTGATAGGTGTAGCACCAAATGGTTTGGTAACATTTGTATCGCGACTGTGGGGAGGCAATACCTAGGACAGACATATCGCAATGAATGATAATTTGATTCCAAAATTATCTCCAGTGGACGTAATCATGGTTGCTCACCGTTGAAGACCTTCTTCCTCCAGATGTTGGTCTCAACGTTCCACCCCGTATTACTGGTCATCGACAGATGACAACCCAAGAATTTTTCGAAACGCCGGGTATTGCGTCCGCTCGCCTTGTCGTAGAGATGAAAATTGAACAAATAAAAAACTATCGTATTCTCAGTGATGTATTACCCCTATCAGAAGCACACTTGGCAGAGCAGATAATTTTTATATGTACAGCATGGACCAATCTACTGCCATCTTTGCTCACATAAATGAAACATAAATTTTACTGTATGCATGCAGAGCAAGAGTGAGGTACACCAGACACCCCACACTGTTTCAAGTGTAAGAGCTATGTCGTGTCAAACGATGTCTCTTGCCGAGTGGTCCACTGGTGATCTTTTGAGTACCGACATGAACCATACCACCTGTCTATTACCGTGTGTGAGCGAGTGAGTGCGTTTGTGAGTGAGCGACTGCGAGTGTTTGTGAGCAAATGTGTGTGTACAAGTGGGTTGCAGAGTATTGTAGTTATTAGTCATGTAATGTATTTGTACATATTATTTATGTAAGAAATTATTGTATTATTACTGTAAATTTGATGGCACATCCAGATAGGCCAGAAATATAAAATAATTTGTTTTCTGTTTGTTAAAGTGATTACGTCACCGTAAATAAAAAAAAATAAAAAAAATATTTCCACTTTTTCACGAAATATAAGTAATTCTGTTCACTTTTTATGGTTAAATTGCTGCATTTTTCTTCTTATTTTACTATATTGTTTGATGTGAACATACACTCGTGACGCATACATAGCCCATAGCAAGCAATTGTCAGGAACACTAATATCAAATCGACCAGGTTTTTTGGGTTTTTAACTAGTTGAGAAACAATCTTATCAGGTAAGAATTTGACGATACGTTTAGTCTCGTTAGTTCTTACTTTTAATGTAAAAAAATGGCAACAAAATTTTTACAAATTTTACCATAGAAAATTTGTGACGTAGTCAATTTAATTGTTTTTAATTAATTTAGAAATATTTTAATAACATTTTCACACAGTCCACGGTCCGCAGACAGCATTTTACCCACATTCCACATGATATACATGCAAGACGGCAGAAAAATTAACAAAAAAAAAACGTGTACGAATACATGTATAGTCCAGAGCAAGAGCTTTAATAATATAATAAATAATATACGGTCAAGACAAAACAGGTATTTTACTTGTAAAGTCCTACAGACTTGTCCCGTTCCTATTCGCCATGCGATGTAGCGTGGACTATTAAGTATTATAAACACGGACTCCACTACGGGGACCTAATATGTTATATACTGGAACCACAACATTTTAAAGACTGATTCCAGCTCGTACAAGGCCAGCTGTCCCTGGACCTGGTACATATAACTTTTCGCGCACTCTTGGTTGCATGTTGCGCCATTCACTGTCAGCTGTACTACCCGGAAGTAGTGTATCCGTGGCGCTACCTACGGGAATCATGTCGCCATAACTCTGATCGCGGAACCGAGCCATTGTGCATGGGCTAAATCTCACAAACAGGAAAAAAACAAATAAATAGCTTGTGCTCTCTGAAACTCAAAAAACGCAGCTAGGTGCTCAGCAATGTTGAAATACCAATACTTCGCATTTAAGCTACGCTGGCTGTATTGATAGTTAACTAATGTTGCTACGTGTATGTAGTGTAGAAGATGGCTAGTTTATGGTTATTCCTGAAGCAGGGTTAACTGTGGTAATGTTCCCAAAGTGCAAAAACGCGGCTGATGTTTAATAACAAATATAATTAGTTGTAGATTCATAGACGTAATTTAATATTTAAGAAATTTTTACTGCAAAATGAAATTAAAATTATAATTTGACAACGATATATTACGATTAGGTTTAGATGACAAGTTATATATGACTTACAACCTTTAGAGACTTCTTCCACATTTGTATTTAGTTTCTGTATGATTTTATTAGGTAGATTTTGCTCTTTTTTTAGAGTTCTCATCTGCTTAATGGACAATGTGGATGATCCCAATATGAATGTAGAATGCAAAGGTCGTCTAATGGAGATCCAATACTTCATTGCGAGAGATTTCAGGTTTGATTGTGAAGAGATGGTTTTATGATGATGACGTGTGGAATCTATTTATATTAGTTTTTAGCTCAGCTGACGAAGTCAGATGCAGCTTGTAGAATCGCATGAATGTCCGTCCGGCCGTCCGTCCCTCCGTCCGTGCGTCAACAGTTACGGCACAAATCTTAACCGCGCGGCGTACGATCTTGATATTCGGGACGTCGGGGGTATCACGAAAAGGACTCGGGATGTCGAATTTGTTGGGTCAAGGGTCAAAGGTCAAGATGTGTCAATGGAGGGGAATATTTCCCCCTTAACTTAATGTATAGGAGGAAATACGAAATTGCGGCACAAATCTCAATGGCTCGACCTACGCTCTTAATATTAGATGTATAGTGTGATGGGGAAGAAACCCATCACCAGCGCGAAATTGGAGGTGACAGGTCAAAGGGCAGTGGGGGAAAGGTCAGATATCAGACATTTTCTGAGGACATGGTCTAACGGACCGAGTGCAAAACTTTTTTGTTTCAGCGCTGACCTACCACTTTTATCAATTTATTGAAAGGACCGTGAAATCTACTTTCCGCTGACGTGCGAAGAGTAAGTGTCCGATAACTTTTTGACCCTAAAGAGGAGGGTTAAACATGGATTTGTTGACTGTTAACAAAGGACTGAACTGCTTTTGCTATTAGAGCCCACTCCACCCCCACTACGCTCGCGCTCGACGCATATCCATGATAATGTTAATATAGCGAAGTCATTAAAGTTGCACAGCTATATCTTTATTACTGTACTACCGGTATAACAAAGCCTATCAACGCGGTGGCGGGAGGGCGCACTTGATTCGGTTGCCAGTGAGTTTATCAGAAGAATACCCGGCTACAGTACACGTCGGTTGAGCGCTGTCGCTCTGCGGCACTTGTTTGCCATTAACACCCGTGTGAGACATGTTGAGAGCTTTGCTAATATATTAGACATATATTAGAGCTGTGCTAAAATATTTTAAAACTAATAATATTTAACCCTAAGGTAAAAATATTGGGTGCCATGGACATACGTAGCTCAATGGCATGGTCCTATATAGTAATTGTTATTGTATTCAATTTCACAAATTAATAGGAAACCAAATGTCAAACCAACCAATCTTCTATCTAAGACAAGGTTATTTGGATGGTTATGTTAAGCAAACAAGTCTGTTGAGTTATTAATTTTTTTCATGTGTACTATTATAAGCATTCTTTGGATTATGTGTCTCTTTGCTGTAATTCCTGAAGAACTTGACATTTTTAATAGTTAATATTTTGTTTACATATCACTTACATCGTTCTGCTTTCTTTCAACTGTCAGTCTGGATTCCAAGTTGTACAAGACATGTTTCAAGGATGCAAGAGAGTTCTGCTCTGCACCTAGCAACTGGCACAATGATGAAATAGTACCTGATCAGGGACCTTTAATTTTGTCCTGCCTTTATCATCGGATCTATGTTACGGCGAAAGGGCAGCAAGTAAGTGAGTGTCGTCTGCATGTTTTCATTGTCTGGCTTTCTGTGTGTTTATCTGCAGATTAAGCAGTCGGTTGATGCACGCTTGCAACGAATATGCAGAAAACCTCTGCGGGAGTAAACTAAATCCAGATGATGACAGCGCTAACCAGGCAGATGGTCAGATGTCAGTTGTACCCTTGAAGCACAGTTATACGTTGTCCTGTCTGTACCGATATATGAGTTCACCTAACAAGAAGGAGAGAAAGGAGGTTGGTGAAGTGCACGCTATGAGCTGCTGTACTAGTGGTTAAATAAATGCACACTTATGGTGGCACGTGACAATCACAAATGCACGCACGCACGCACATACATTGCACATGACATTTTGGTTGCTGGTTGTGCTTCTGCAGTATAGTTCTGCTTGACTTTGTGGTGGTTGGTGGTGCACTGTACAGTCAGGTTATACAGTGCATTTGGGTGGCTGATCTTGCTTCTGCAATTCTGCAATCAAATTGTAGATTGCTTTCTGGTGGCTGTTCGTGCTTCTTCAGTCATGTTGTTTGTTGCTTTCTGGTGACTGATTATGCTTCTGAAATGGTTCTGCATGGTGTAGTGCCCTGAAGGTTCTGCAATCAACTTCACGTGGCAAGTTCAGTCTCACATTTTGTTCACATCACACCCAAAGATGTAGGGAAGGTTGGCATAGTTGTTTGTGCTGGTTTTAAATTACTTTGATTATGCATTACTAGTGGTAACATACAGTTTGTATATACTAGCCGTACAACGTGCAGCTAGCATAAAGTGGTTATTGTGGGTTGTGGTGGAGCTTTAAGAGGCAGAAGAAGGCAGTTGATAGCAGGGTTTGAATAAGTCTTTAAAAATCTGGAAAGTCATGTAAATTTTAAAATGATAATTTCCTATGTCAGGAAATTCCTGGAAAATAGGCTGTTATTGTGCTTGGCAATCCTGGCAATCCTGGAAATTGATCGTGTTTGTTGCAATGATAATACAAAGTTTAGTAAACTGAAAATATAGCCCTTGTAGGCATTAAAATTACAAAGATACGAGGTATAAATTTTGTATCTGATGTAAATCTTATGGTCCTGGTACACAGACCTTCTATATCCTGGAAAGCTCATGAAAAAATCCCCCCCCCAGCAGAGTTCTCCAAGCTTTTAAATTATAGCATGGGGGTGCTACTCACTGCTAGGGGGTCCAGGGGAACATTTTTGAATTGTAGAAGCTCTGAGATGCAATCTGGGACACTGTGTGTGTAAATTTGAAGCACTGCATGTGGGGTGAAAATGTTTGTTTTGCATGGGCAAAGCCATCGGAAAATTCAAAATAATTATTTCTTGATCAACTAGAAAACACTCGGATTCGAAGTATGAAAATGAACATTATTGTGCCAGCTAGCCTACACCAGTTGGTTGGGATTGCTTGTCAGTTCAGATGCAAAATATTGAAAGCAAAGGGTTATACACCATAGATTAATTTTAGTACTATAACACACGTATATAAGATAGCCGAGTCGGCTTAGAGTTAGTGTCAGGGTTAGGGATAGGGAGACTGTTTGTACTTGTGTGTGGGACTGCTGTACCCGTAGCATCGAGACCAACGTGTATTAATTGTTTGAACTTCTTGTGTATACACCAGCAGGGCGGCTATGATATTTAGCGTGGCGGGTGCATTTTAGGATGGCGGGGCTCGACGATAGCCTGGCGGGCCGCCAGGCTATAAGTGCCCTTGGAGAACCCTGCTCGGGTGTACGAACCCTATGCTAGTTTGAAGCTTGTAGTCATGTCCAGACAATGCAATATCTAAGTTATGCAGCATTGACTTGAAATTTCTGCAGCTGGTTTGTCTATGTAGCATGTGTGTTGTTTGTAAGTAGGTGGTGGTGGCTGTACCTTACCTTATCGCTAATGATTTGAGAATATAGGACACCAGGGGCATTAAGCAGCTACCAGCTAGTAATGAAATGGTGAAACAAGATTTACTTTTGACGATTCGTTGCAGCAATCTTTTACAATGCTATGCCTATACTTTATGATAGTTCACTATCATAGATATATCAGTATTCATTACTAATCAATGATTAATCGTACTAGCTGTTCTGTAGTTCAGCAGGGAACATTTTCAGTTTCGCACCCATATATATACCTATATGTATAAAGATCACTCGAGGGAAATGGCAAAAGTGTTCTTTATAGACAGGTGCCCATTCTATAGAAGTGGTTTCTACCCTATAATGGCCACTCACGAGCAATGGCAAGTGTCCTTTATAGACAGGTGTCTTTACTATAAACGGGGACTACTAACACGAACTCGACTGTAAGTTTCTATTGGTACAGGTTATAGTAGACGTAGGTGGTCAGTTAACATTTTATGAGATGTCCTGTTTAGTCAACACACACCAGCACATGCTAACAGCCAAGCCTCCTCTTTCTCACAGCTGTCACGTCAGTGTAGGTTCGAGGTGAAGCGGGTGATGCGGCAGAGAGCAGTGAGTGTGAAGCTACAGCCGGAGATCGAGGAGCCCTGCATACACGACCTGTCGAGGTTCTGCTCAGACAACACAGAAGAGGAGGAGGTATGTGCGTAATACAGAGGTGGAAGCTATGCGCATCTCACTGAGGTGAGGGGAGTAAGCGTGTCCATAACACAGCGCGAAGTTGGGAGGCATGTTCTTAACCGAAGGAGAGGAAGTATGTGTGTAATATAGAAGGGAATGAGGTATGCGCATTACAGAGAGGGGAAGGTAGTGAGTAGGTGTGTAACACTGACACTGAGGGGAGGTGAGGAGGTGTGTGCGCAACAAAAAGGGATGCAATATTTGCATAACACAGAGAGGAGAGAGAAAGGGTATGTTTGTAATACGGGGTTGTGGTATGTCTATAGCAAGGGGAGGAGGTATGTGCATAACACAAGTGGAGCGCTGTGCAATAGCTGTGCAAATGGTCATCTTGATTCTCTGCTCTTCTATCAGTACCAGAGTGGACTGTTTCGCATTTCAAACTCGTTGTTTATAAAGTAATATTTTTAACATACCCAACTACATGTTTGATGAAATCTAATTGCTTTTTGTTTACACAAAGACTAGTTTGCTTAAGTAGTTGTGGTGTATAGTTTCATATGATCTCTATCATGATTCCATGTATGGGCACACAATGGTTTAGATGAAGTAATAGTAACTCATTATGATGTTCCAAATGCAGGAAATGCAATGTCTGCAAACTCACCTGGATGAGTTGGAAGCCACTTGCAAGACAGCAGTGACAGAATTTACGGAGAGGGAAGCTAAAGACACGAAACTTGACCGAATAGTCATGAAAGCCTGCAGAACAGCTATCAAGATGTTTAGCTGTGACGAGGTTGATGTATGTATTGATATCCCTATTAAAATCGTGTAAACAATGTAAAAAGAAAAGTGCATGCCGATCACTCTCCGAGTTAAGATATTAGGTATGGGCCATGTCTATGTCTTTTATAGATTTGCATATAGACAGATATAAAGGTCTTCACATGATATGAGATTATATTTGTTCAATACAGGAGGATGACCAAGGAGATGACAATGGTGGAATAATGCGATGTCTAGTCGAACACAAAAGCGATCTATTAATCCAGAAAAGCCAGAAGTGTCTGTGTGGCGTGGAACACTTTCAGTTGGTATGTATAGGTTAAACGGATGTGTGTATGTGTATGTACGTGCATGTGTGAATGCGTGCGTGCATTCGAGGATGCGAGTGTGCATGTGGAAGATAAATGCTCAACACCACAGCCGCAGACTCCTGCATTTCTATAATAATGTAAAAATTTGTTAAAACTCATGTAATATCTAGATACTTTATATGCTGTATATTTCGCGGTGGTTTCATTTTCGCTAATTTCGCGAACGCGTCCTCGCCCGCGAAAATAACAACACGCGAATAATTCATACCGAATAATACTGAATAATTCATAATTCACTGACCGCGAAATTAACCACTTGCAAAGTTGTCCGTCAAGTCTGAATTCGCGAAAATATCTGTACGCGAAAAATATGGCATATACAGTATACAAAGAATAATTGTTAGAACATAAATTCATGTGTGATTATGACATGATCCTTTATGCAAAGTATAAACGTGAAAGTAATAGCATGTGTTAAGTGTTAAAACCCCTAACAGTGTATGAAATTTATTTAATATTAACAGAAATGTCTCCGTTTTATGCTCCGTAAGTAATCTATGAGAAAACATTTGTAAATAGTGGTTATTTTTGCAGATTGCATTAAAGAACATCAACTTTAATGTCAAATTCAAAGAGTCATGTAAAGATGATGTGTCTACTTTATGTCAGGAAAAAGCAGCAAACAAGTATGTATGATTGATAGACCTCTCAACATTTTTCTCATGTAATAATGAATACATCATTAGTCAGTTTTATCATATAGCATATGGCTTAGAAACTTACAGTTTTATCAATTATGTAATTGTGCACAGTAATCTTAAAAGAAATTTGCTATGACATTTTCTATAATTCCAATGGTGCACATAGATGCATCTTAGTAGGTATCTTTCTAAATGACAAAAATGGCAGTGTCATTATGGTGGCATTTGTGTTTTCAGAGCAGAAATTGTGTCATGTCTGAGTACTATTGTGAGAAATGACACGTTACTGGGACATACACAGAGAATCTCACCATTCTGCAGAACCGAGTTACGAGTAGAACTGCTACAAAGGGTAATCACTTTTGCAAAGATGTGTAATGACAAGTTCTGTCACGAATACAATAAGAAATAGTAATAAGTCATAGGTTACGTCTAATACACATTAGTTACTATACCCCGTATGAAGAATTTTGTAGTTATATAGTGTAATGCATTAAAATCAAGATATCTTTTGTATGTATGTTTGAAATAGCTCCATATGGTAGATTTCGTTTATGTCTCGTTTCTATTAGTCTTATGTTAGACGCATTAGTCATATGAGTTGCAGTTAACGTTTATTTATTTTCCTGCTAGTCTGAGAGCATTGACCTGGATCCGATGCTGCAGGTGTTGTGTCAGGATGACGTGCGTCAGTTATGTCAGGGCCTGGCACCAGGACGAGGAGCTGTGAGTATCAGTCTCTCACACCTCTCCACGTTGTCTCGTATTCAGATGGCGCCTAGAACGTTATCAGCAGGGAGATCTTATACGGTTTAAGAAGCAGATGATCTAAATCTTCATACCCCTGTGTTGTAAAAGTAATTTTCTTTGAAGTGACCGTTGGTAATCAGTCTTGACGAAAACGTTTTGAGCCACTTGCTCTTCGGGCAAGTATTCTGTAAAATGTACATACCCGAATGACATCCTAGTTGCCCATATACTTTGCAGGAATATGTTTTGGAATATCAAGTAAAGAAGTGTACACCAAAAAACTTCTAGACGCCATTCGTTTCTGGTGTTAACATTTTGTGATTTTAAATTAAAAACCTTTAGTTAGTGGCCAGTTTTATTATATTTTATGCGTTTTTAAAACAGGAGCCTGTCGGGCAATTGAGCTTGCAATGTTTACATGCCCACCAAGATTTCTACATGTGTCGGTCGTCGGACGCACGGCAAAATTCCAAGACTGGGTAATTATGGCTGTACGTTGCATTTTGTAGGTACTCGAGTGTCTGCGTGAACACAAGGCGAATCTTTCCTCTCAGTGCCACCAGAAAATCTTTGAGCGAGAACGAGATCAAGCCGTTAACCCAGACACGGATTTCATCCTTGTTGAGTATTGCAAGCCTATGATAGAGGTAAGATTCTATAGACTGCTAGGAATGGCTTTTATCTTTTGTGTTTAAAAGTGGTAATACACTGCTCGGCTTTAGCATGCATTTAATACAAATTCAGTGTTTTTAGCTCATCTGACGAAGTCAGATGCAGCTTGTAGAATTGCATGAATGTCCGTGCGTCCGTGCGTGCGTGCATCCGTCCGTCAACAGTTGGGCACAAATCTTAACCGCTTGACGTACGGTCACGATATTCGGGACGTGGGGGGGGTCGTGAAAAGGACTCAGGATGACAAATTTGGGGGTGTCAAGGGTCAAAGGTCAAGATGTATAAACGGAGGGGGAATATTTCCCCTTTAACTTAAGGTATAGGAGGAAATACGGAATTGCGGCACAAATCTGAACAGCTCGACCTATGCTCTTAATATTCGGTGTATAGTGTGATGGGCAGGATAGAACTATGCATGCATTTAATACAAATTCAATGTTTTTAGCTAATCTGACGAAGTCAGATGCAGCTTGTAGAATCGCATGAATGTGCGTGCGTGCGTCCGTCTGTCAACAGTTGGGCACAAATCTTAACTGCTCGACGTACGGTTACGATATTCGGGACGACGGGGGGGATCGTGAAAAGGACTCAGGATGACAAATTTGGGGGTCAAGGGTCAAAGGTCAAGATGTGTAAACGGAGGGGGTATATTTTCCCCTTAACTTAAGGTATAGGAGGAAATACGGAATTGCGGCACAAATCTGAACGGCTCGACCTATGCTCTTAATATTTGGTGTATAGTGTGATGGGCAGGAAACCCACCACCAGTGTGAAATTGGAGGTCACAGGTTAAAGGGCAGTGTGGGAAAGGTCAGATATCAGACATTTTTTGAGGACATGGCCTAATGGACAGAGTGGAAAACTTTTTTGTTTCAGCATTGACCTACCATTTTTATCACTTTATTGAAAGGACCATGAAATGTGCTTTCCACTGACATGCGAAGAGTAAGTGTCTGATAACCTTTTAACCCTCAAGAGGAGGGTTAAACATGGATTCCTGAACTGCCTCAATGGTGTCACCGTGTTCTCATATTCATGGCACATCCATAATCTAGAAACCCAATTAGCTTGGATAGCTGAACGGTTACAGCACAGGCGTCACGGCTCAAAGGTCCTTGGATCGAATCACATCTGATTTTTTATTATTTACCTGTTCTGTGTTTTTCTATCTTCATCCATTTAACCATTTTTTTTCCAATTAACGCAAATATTTACATGATTTATTTACAACAATTTAATAACAATAATTTTTTTTTACAACAATTAATTTTTTATACATTTTTTAATAGGGTTAGGGTTAGGGTTGGGGTCACAATGCACAGGGCCGTAGTGGCAGCCACGGCAGCATGGCACTGCTGTGGCACTATTTTGACAAAAAAAAATTGTGCAGGGAACCAAGGAGCAACATATACCAAGGAGATGAAACCCCGGGGGGGGGCACTCACCCCACATTATGGTAGGTATGTGCCACTGCGAAGTCAAAAATGGGGGGCTCTGGAACTAACTCACACCTGAAAATGGGGGGCCCCGGAAATAATGTTTGTTGAATGTGGTATGCTCTGGAACTGGCTATGTTCGAAAATGGGGGTCTCCGGAACTAGGATTTCGTTGAAATTCAATGCTATGAAACTGGACACGTTTAAAAGAGGGGTCTCCGGAACTGTGGGGGGAACAGTGATTTGCTTTAAAATCTATGCTGTAGCACTTGAACCAATAATTGTTGTATTATGTAGAGGAGAGAAAAACATGACCCGGAGTCAGATGAACGCACGCACACGCACACGCACACGCACACGCACACGCACACGCACACACACACAGAGACATCACGCATGCACACGCACACAGAAACTCACACAACACACACACGTTGCATACATGCCTTCACGGCCCGGCTTCAACGTATTCTGAAGTACGATGCACTGGAACGGAAATATTAAAAACTATATTATTTTTCATAATTATGTACTGATAGTATATATACAATTTTGTAAACAATGTTTTATTAGTTATCATACTCATAATATATATTTTAGATACTTTAATCAAAACATCAGCTTTAGCTACATTCCTCTTTGAAATTTACAAATTGACCTTTTAAAATGATCAGAATTGGTTGCTTTCAACATAGCGTAAATATGCAGGAAATGCCATTTCCAGGCTCTAAATTTCAAAATTTTCTGGGGGAGTATCCCCAGACCCCCCGCATCGGCTTCGCGATCGCGGCGTTTGCCATGGCACACACCATAACCGCCACTCCTGATATTATCACTGGGTGATCCTACATTTTTCTGCAGTAGCACATTTTGGGAGGCCACTACGGCCTTGCAATGCACCATAAAACAGGAGTTTCAGGCACGCGATTTGTATCAACCTATGGGATTTGGGAGGTATGCAGAATGCAGAAGGTTGCTGAAATGATGTGTACGCAACTGCGTATCTGCATATGTGCGCCTAACAAAGGTGTCACTACGCACAACTTAAATGTTACGTTTATAACCGTAGCAACAGACCTCAGATGAGCCCAGACGCTCTGCGGCTCTTGTATAAGTGGCTCTTGTATATCTATCGGCTGTGTGAAGTGCAGTAAATTCTTTTGTTTTATGTGCAGGTCTTCTGTCATGGTATTAGTCCAAGCATGCTGTTTAATTGTCTCAAGAAGCACAAGTATGACAAAGACATGAACCCAAAGTGTAAAATGATCATCTCAAAACGACAGATAGAGAAGGCAAAAGGTATGAGGTGATGTTTTCAAAATAATTATCGGAAGGAGTGTAGTTAAGTAACTATTATTGGTTCTAAAGCTGTAGACTTTTACATATTCTATACCACATCAAGGTGATTAATTTAGCCTGCTAGCATCAATACATGCATACACATAATATCTGATCTTATCTTTTGCGAATCTGTTGTAGATTATCGCCTTAACCCAGACCTGCAGCGTCACTGTCAGTCGGATCTTCCCAAGTTTTGTTCAGCTCTTTTTGATAAAAAGATTGATCTGAAAGATATGACGGCCTTCAAGGAATTTGAGGGCAAAGTGATTCTATGTTTGAAGAAGCAGCTGTCAGTAAATGTACGTTTGCTGGCGTTGTTGTAAGACAATCAACTTCCCTCACGAAACGAATGATTAAACGTTAAAGTATTCACACCATATTTATTGCGTAATTTAAGTCCATCTGAAAACCTCATTGCTCTCGTGTCTCACTAACGGCATAAATCACTGTAACCTCTTATTCTCTATAGAGCAATAAACTTCGTTCATGTAAAAGGTCTCATCTATTTCCATGGTATCGTTGAGCATCTTAGCCTTGTTGACTATCTTATACAGATAAGCAATGAAATGTTGGAATTGCTTCGGTTTATTTCCAGCGACTCTCCCATCCATGTGCTAATATTATGAGGGAGCTAGTACAAGAGGCACATGAAGACTACCGCCTTGATCCACAGCTCACCATATGCAAGGCAGATGTAAGCATCATAAAACGTATTCGCATATTACGACTTGTTAGAGTTTTCCTATCCTTTGTGGTTCTTGTGTGAACATGTGTGTGATGTAAATCAACAGCTTGAAGACATGAGGGTTATTGATGGCAAAAACATTTGAATGAAGATCGTATTATGACTAATGTTCTTTTGATGCACTTTCAGATGACTCATTTGTGTCCTGAACAGGTGGAAAAGGAGAAAGGCTATGGGAGTGAGGTAGAAGACTGTCTCATGAACAAAATTTTAAAAATTGCCAATGAAGACTGTCAAAAGCAGGCAAGTATATGAATCTGTTCTATACCAATACTGGGTCAGTTATACAATCAAGACAGTAGCCAAATTGAACAGTCATTTTAGAATGAGAAATGTGATGGATAGATTTTAAAACATACAAGCATGAAGTATACATGGTGCATTTCGTCTGTCATGGTTTCTCAGATTTTCGTTGAATTCTTTGTGGCTGCTAACGTGACTATTTTTGTGTAGGTTGCTCGGATTGTAGCGGAAGCTAGGTCCGACATCCACGTCGATGAGGCGCTCTATGAGGCATGTGAGCTCGATCTCAAGTTCTACTGTACCGACCTAGATCCAGGAGATGGCAGACGTAAGAGTGACGGCTCATGCACATTTATAGAATTGTGAAGTTTCTGTTCAATATTAGTGTTGGGATGTGGAGTAAGGTGTCATGAATGTGCATTAACTCTAGTTTCATACAGTTTTACACAGTCTACACTCGCGTGTGAACTTGTGCTAGTTTCTATCGCAGTTATATATGCAGGTTAATAGAGTAGGTAGAAGAATAGAGCTATTATCTACTCCATTGTGCATGTCTACCACAGTCGTAATTGTGGAGGACGTCCAAGACATTGTGTGCGTGATGAGACGTAGTAGAAAGATGCCTGAACAATTTGCTTGATTTTATTGCCTCAGATATGTCATGCCTGCTCTCTTTGCTGGAGATGAACAAGATTAATAGAAAGGAATGCAAGGCGATGCTACAGAAACGCAAGGAGCTGTGGGAATTGGCTGCAAAGGTATGCCTGCACACATTCATAGCTTAATAGATTAAACAAAGTACCAATGATAACTGCCGATTTGAAGCCTGCTTGCACAATGCTGCTTGCTACATATGAACAGAAAAATTCACAAAAATATACAATGATTTAAATTTGTTTGTTTACATCGTGTTGATCCCAGGCATGATGGTGTTACTTGTTTCTCGCGAGACCCTGTCCCATTACTTTTGCATGTTAACTTTACTTAAGCAATAGAGGTGTTGCTTATAGAGAACCAGTCTAGAACCACCACATTACTCAATCAGATGCACATGTCTGGCGGTTGCAGATTTCAAGCGAATTGTCGCTATATGGAAGAATTTGGCTGCATTATTTGCTATTTTATATACCATAACAGCATAAGCCCATGGTAATTTTTATACTGAAGTAATCAGTAACATATTCGCTATTAGGTGACTATATTTTGCTATATTTTTCTCGATTGTGCAGTTTAATTCCTTTAAGTGTTCAGTCTACTACAGCTAAAACTTCCAAGTACTACTACTCACAGGCACCAACTATAAGTGCAATTCAACATTCGGCCAACAGTGTCGGTAAGACCTACCGCACGATATTTTAAAGATCACAACTGACATCACACTGTTCTTATTCTAGGTTGCCCCAGCACAGAGCATGAGTGATATCTACACGCAAGTGTTCACTTCCCCAGCGCGCAACTATTTCTTGATTGTGGCAGCCACAGCGATAGGCATTATATTCGTCGGTGGACTTTTCTGCGGCAGGGTAACAAAGAAAGTGCGAGCCGAAATGAAGAATCGATAGGGGTGGCCACGGTATCTTATTCAGGGCAGTCATCAGATGTGATCGTGCGGCGTTGTCGTATACTTCTCTCCCAGCGATGTATATTTTACACCGTGTGCCTGTTTGTGACAACGTTTCTGTTATTTTTGCACAGCACCTCCTGGCACAGAGAGTTACCATAAATGGACGGGATTCGTTGTCTTTGCTGTGAGCTGGTCTTATATATGTCATTATATACGTTTGTCCACATTTTGCAAAACCCGTTTGCTGCACGTTGTATTTACTATTCTGCGTGAGACACCGCTGGTTTGTCTGTTTTGCAATAATCTATAATTGCTATCTGCTATGCTTTGAGTTTGAAAATATGAGCATGTTCTTTATTTAGTTATGGACGTGTAATCTCTTGGTAAGGGAGAGAGAGGAGGTAAATAGTTAGATGCAGAGAGAGAGAGAGAAGAGAGAGGTAAATAGATAGATAGAAAGAGAGAGAGAGATAGTGAGGGGGGAAGAAGGGAGAGGAAAGAGAGTGTGAGGGAAAGAAAGAGAGAGAGAATGCGTACAGTAGATACAGGAACGCAGCGTAACGAAGCAAGTGTAAATGCGACTGTTAGCATTATCTCTGTATGTATTATTGTGTATTCATGTGATATGTTGTAAACATATTGCGTAGAGCCTTGTAATCTGTCGAATTTATAATAACCTATATAGCTGTGTATTAATCAATTTTACAACGAGCAGTTCGAAAAATCTACCTATATATATATGTATATATATATACATATAGCTGGTATGAAAGTAGATTTTCCAGTAGTTTGCAGCCCTGGTAAACCAAAATACAGTTCTGTCTGACCCCGGTGTGTTTTTGCGTTGACAATGAACTAAATCTGTCAAAAGGTTTAGGGTATAGTTGTTTTGATTGAACTCTACCTGGGGAAATATATATGCTATGGACGAAAAATGAAGTATGACTTTAAATCTTTCTAATGTATTTATCAATGTAAACGTCAAGGTGTGCAATTCGACTATAAAAAAAACTTGAATTGGTTAATGTTCGACTTTTATACAGCTGGTGTATAATGGTATATCATGCTTTCTGTAATAGTTTAGTCACTATGATCATATTTGTAGCGCTCGTGATTTGCGCTAATCTGGTAATGTTGTCACAGTCCTATAGTCATATATATATACAGATATACTTTATATGAAATCGCAGGGTGTAGGAGCGTACACAAATAGTTGTTCCTGTCATTAGAATCTCTCCTGTAATTCTGTTTCATAGTTTTAGTCAACTTATGTGGTAGCCACAGCTGTACTTTCATGCTGCATAATGATCGGATTGCAGATATATGAAGCGTTTGAAAGACTAGCTATGTTATACGCTTTGTCATACACTACAGGAACAAACGTGTTCGACCTATGTGATTTATGCATGACGCCGGTGATTTCTGATAATGAGGAAGTGTGTACACTTGTTTATCTGATCAAATTTATCTATCACCGACTTAGCAGATTTTCATTTGACGGACGTGCATAATAGCTTACGTTTGACGAATCGCGTAATGCGATGTGCATGAAAAATACTTCCATGTACTATAGCTATCGTATTCTCCAATGTAGTGAGAGTAACGCCTGTTGCACACTGATTACTTTTAGTCGCGAGAACGAGCGTGCAGTTAGTAGCTCAGTTTTGACATTCATGGTGGGTAGCTCCAGGGCATCCCGGGCATTGTCGGTGGCGCCACTTATAAAACCGCCCATGTGCGCCGCACTGAAATGCGCATCTGTATGCACGGGTATCACTGTATCTGGCTGAAGTCATTATAAAGGGTTACGCACAAACGACCCGTACAGTCCTGATGGTGAAATCGGTTCAGTGTACGTGCATTTCACGTAAAGTTTTATGTGTTCTAAAACAGTGGCAAACGATATGCTGACATGGTCATGTCGACAGTGCGAAATTTATGCGCTGAGAAAGAAAGCGGTTTCAAAACAGCGCTGTTTACGTCCGGTGACGTGTTACTGCAACTGCCCATTGTGACTGGGTCTGATTAAAAATATGTGGGTATAGTTTTTTTTTTGCTGCCTTACATTCATGTTTGTGTACAAAGTGGTAATGTTTATGCAAAGTGGAATGCACACATTAATTCCTGCATATTGTTGTGAGCCACCGAGTCTACTAGCCACCTATTTTTGCGATCTCAGTCTCGGTTCGATCAATATCCGAAACCACCGTTCACAATTTTACAACCATAACAAAATGGCATGCCATCATGTCTTTTTCCTGGTTCCATTCGCACGCGCACAGACTAAATGTGTTGTTCCGAACCTCGCCGAATAGCGTTGGAACTAGCGAATCATTACCTCCGCCCACGGAGTGGAGGATGTTATGTGATCGCTCTCGTGTAGTGTGTTAGTGTGTTCGCGCGGTCGATATTAGCCCGTCAGCCAGCCGGCGCAGCGAGCCAGCGAGCGTGTACATGTGAGCGAGCAGCAGCAACGAGCGAGCGATCTGGCGGAGGTATGCACTCTCCGTGAGTGCCCTCTGTCTAGTTTTGATATGTGCCAGATATTGCACGGCATTTGTACACGTGGTAAGCATGCCATTCATGTTACGGCTGTTGTAATTAATATTGTAACGATCATTATTAATACCCTTGTAACCTGTAATAAATGGCTTGCTGTATAACCGCGTACTATCTATAGATAACTGTAGTACCAAAACGTATTGGCGCAGTTATGTATGGAAGGGATAGTATTTCGTGAAATAATATACAGCTTTAATATTTGGATCTTTTTCTTGATCATTTGATTCATTATTATTTTATAACAATATCCAGCAAATCGCCGTAAAAACCGTCATAACAATACGGTTTAATGGCGACTCTTTTCGACAGTCGTAAAGCAATAAAGCCTAAACAATGTTTGGTGTGAGAGTCCGTCGTGAAACTGAACGGAAGTAGCTTAAATAAACAAGATTAAATCATTTATTTATAATGAAATAATGTGGTGTGTAAATGTTTGTGAATATATCATGTGTACAGGTATTGCGTGCAACTCTCATAAATGTTCCACGCATGCAGTGCTGTAGTAACACCCCCCCCCCCGGGGGGCACTCTTAAGGAATTGGGCATCGGACCTCGGTCGCCGTTGACCGCTAAGATAATTTTATTCGGCCGTTTTTAAACGGTCAAAGTGGAGCCGGGCGGGCTGCCAGCATGTGTGCATGGTAAAATCAGATATATAACATTCACTTTTCTCGCAGCATCACGCCCTGGGTTTCGCGTTATGCCTATATTAATATACCGGGAACTGGGCCTCGGACGTCGGTCGCCGTTGACCGCTAAGATAATTTTCTTCGGCCGTTTTTATATGGTCAAAGTGGAGCCGGGCTGGCTGCCAGCACGTGTTCATGGTAAAATCAGATATATCATATCAAGTTCACTTTTCTCGCAATATCACGCCCTGGGTTTCGCGATTGGCCTATATTAATATACAGGGAATTGGGCCTCGGACGTCGGTCGCCGTTGACTGCTAAGAAAATTTTCTTCGGCCGTTTTTATACGGCCAAAGTGGAGCCGGGCGTGCTGCCAGCACGTGTGTATGGTAAAATCAAATATATAATATTAACTTTTCTCGCAGCATCACGCCCTGGCGTTCGCGTTATGCCTATATTAATATACAGGGAATTGGACGGGGGCGTTTGACGTGCTAAGTATCATTTCTCTTTCGGGTTTTTTATAGCGGTCAAAGTGGAGGCCGGGTGGGCTTGGCAGCCCGTGGGCTTGTAAAGGTATACTATATACCTTATTGCCCTTTCTCGACAGTTCGAGACCTGGGGTTTCGCGTTTTATGCCTATAGTTAATCATACGCATTGGGCGCTCGGACGTCGGGGCTAAGTAGAATTTTCCTTCGGCCGGTTTTTAATAGCGGCCAAGTGGAGCCGGGCGTGCTTCACACGGGTTGTGTATGGTATAATCAATATATAATATAACTTTTTCGGCAGCATCACGCCCTGGCGTGGTCGCGGTATGGCTATATTAAATTATACCGGGAAGTTGACGTCGTCGCGCGTTGACTTGCTAAGGATAATTTTCTTCGGCGTTTTTTATACGGTCAAAGTGGGCCGGTGTTGCTGCCAGCCGTGTGCATGGTAAAACCGAGATATCTATATTCTTATCCTTTTCTCACAGTATCCGCCTTGGGGTTCCGCGTTATGCCTATATTAATTATATCTAAGGAATTGGGCCTCGGGACGTCGGTCGCCGTGTACACTGCTAAGATAATTATTCTTGCGGCTTTCCGTTTTTATACGGCGAAGTGGAGCGGGCGTGCTGGCCGCACGTGTGTATGGTAAAAATCAAATATATAATTTGGACTTTCTCGCAGCATCACGCCTGCGTTCGCGTTATCCTATATTAATATACAGGGAATTAGGACGTACGGTGCCGCGCGTTTGACTCGCTAAGAGTAATTTCTTCGCGGCGTTTTATACGCGTCAAAGTGGAGGCCGGGGCTGCCGACCCGTGTGGCCATCGTGTAAAATCAGATATATAATATTTACTTTTCTCGCAGCTCCACGCCTTCCGTTCGCGGTTTGCAAAAAATATAATGAAATCGCTAGCTGCGGGTACCCGCTGCGCTGGGAAAATCGTGCTACTATAGTCAATACTACTAATAATGGACCAATCGGAACATTCGGGTAAAATCGACAATAACATTGCACAACAATATGATATTTAGAATCGTGTATATAGATACTAAGCATGGGAAAGAACCTGTTTACGTATGCCACTTTATATGACAGCAGCAACGCCAACTAAGTAGGACCCTGGAACATAATAGATATGGTGTAAATGACAAAAAGTTATTATACAGCATGTACGAATGGCTTGCACTTTTCATTTGAAAACCTCTTGATAAACAATGTTTTTCGTGTTATTCTCTGGTGGAAATATGTAAAGATTCCTGGAGTCTCGAACTATTGAGCTCCCCACGTACGGCATGCACGTATGGCACGTACGGCACGTAACAGCATGTACGAATGGGTTGCGCTTCTCATTTCAAAGCTGTTGTGATAAACTGTGCAGTCGTAACACTGAACTGGCTGTGGCTCTGTTTTAGCTCGCGGGTTTCGGTTTCGCGTTTCACATACCAGCAGGGTGATGGATGAGTGGGGCTCGATTTTTCTCTGTGTGGCAGCACTGTACAGTCAGTGCTGACATTGTGTGAAGATTCACGAATTGAGGGGTTTTTCACGGATTTTGCGGTGAGTTTGACGGTTTGGCAGGTTTTTTTCAGCTAGGAACACTCCCCGGGTATAAGAGATGACCCTGTGAAAATTGCATCCAGATCGCTTGGGCGGTTTGGCCGCCTATAGGGAAGATACATACATACATACATACATACATACATACATACATACATACGAACTCAAATATATATTAGATAGTGGGGCGGATGTGACATTTTTTACTTAAAGTGTGGACTTCTGGAAAGAAGCATGAAAATTTGCTCTAGGTGGGTTTTGAGTATGCTGATTTCAACAATTGCGGGAAACACGATGTCACTCCAACCATGTTCCCGCCAAAAATTAAAAATGCCCACCAGAAAACATGTTTTCCCCATAAATCAGCTGTAAGTGCCCCGATTACCATGATCTTGGCGTCTATAGCTATGTTTTTGAAGTCAAAGAATGCAATTAAACTTGTCAAATATCATAAGATATATCTTCCCGCCAAAAACTTGAAAATTCAAAATGGCCACAACAAAACACAGTTTTGCCCATAAATCAGCTGTAAGTTCACCAAGTACTATGATCTTGGTCTCTATACATATGTTTTTGAGGTAAATGAACCCCATAGAACGGGTATAGAACACATTGTGATCTATCATAACATCTTCCCGCCAAAAAAACAAAACCAAAATGGCTGCCACAAACGCATTTTTTGCCATAAAATGGCTATACGTGCCACGATTACAAGGATCTAGGTATCTATACTAGTTTTTATGTCAAGGAACCCGATGGAAAACATGAAATATCCTAACATACATCTTCAAATTAAACAAATACAATATAAAATGTTTTTGTCAAAGAACTCATGTACACACATGTGAAAAATTATGATGAAAACCTAAAAATAATGCCATCTATAGTTCATAATTTCTGTTACACTTTGGAAGGTGAGCCTGCGCGCCTGCCAAAACGTCGTTCCTTAGATCACAGCGTGAACAAAAACATGTTGCCTATGTGGAGTCACTTGAAAAGATTATTCAGCGGATGTGCGCTCTTTACCACTATCACTCTGCTCGCTGGATGACGGTTCATGTGAGAGATAAACTTGCCCTCGAGATTAACTGCCCTACCACACATGCAGAGTTTCTCAAAGGCAACTTTGTGACACAGAAAACCATGCACAAATTCTCAGCACTAGCCCATGATCAAGTTCATGAACAGCTGAATGCAATTGGGAAGGGAGATGGAGACGTAATAGGTATCACTGAAAATGAAACAGCACTGAGACGGTGGATGGTGGCAGGTCCAGAAACAGCTAGACTATTAATGAAGTATGATATGACAAACATTCAATGAAAAAGAAGGACACAGAACGCCACCATGAACGAATACCAAGTGTGCAGAAGGCTTGCTTGATACCAAACAGGTAATGTCCGATAGTATGGTAGATACTATAAGGTCCGCAGAAGACATAGGCAAAGCACATGCAGTACCAGAAATTTGTTTCGGGGCGTATCAATGACAATATCACTGCATTCAATAACACCATACATAGATACAATCTGCCTCTGTTGAATTCTAGTTCAAAAAAGAAACCTGCGAAGTCCACTTCCAATATTTCCAACATGCACAATGATGTTCATCTCTTCTCATGGCTGTATATATCGTGTCAAGCTAGAGAAAGTGATATGGATGCCTTCTTCGAACATGAAAATTATGCATGGACTCCATCGTTGGCGTCAAATGGTATCATGCGCCAAACAAGCAAATCTGACTTGATGGAATGCTTGGAGTCATTGGTACCACAGCCGGAATCTGTTCCAAATGTTGATGTCAACATTGTTGACGGTGCTGCCATTGTGCACATGCTTGACCCAAAGAAGTCCCAACTTTTTGTCAAAACATTCCAGAACTATTTACAATTGGTGTTCTTTCCCTATATAAAACACATGCTACAAGACGTTGTTCGCGTAGATGTTGTCTGGGATGTCTACAGGAAGGACAGCCTAAGGCACAAACACGACAGAACCGTGGATCTGGTAATCATCTCCGGGTGGACAATAACACCAAGATTCCTGTTAACTGGAAGAACTTCTTTTGCTGTGATGCTAACAAAGACAGCCTGTTTCAACTTCTAGCCAATGAAATACAAGAGTTTCAACCTCCTCCACAGAAGCTAGTGAACTCCACACATGGCCAGAATGCTGTATCATCTCGCATAGCTAACCTGTCAGATTTGTTCTGCACTCACGAAGAAGCAGACACACGGCTCCTGTTTTATGCTTTCCATTTATTCCATCATGGGTTTACCAAGCTGATGATACATGCAACAGATACTGATGTGGTGGTTATCGCAATTGCAGTGTGTTTTACAGGACTGGGAAATATTGATAGCATTTGGTCATGGTGCTAAACTACTTTACATTTAGTGCCACCTAATTGCAGCTGAATTAGGCAACGATGCATCATGTGGTCTTCTATTCTTCCACGCAATATCAGGATGTGATACTGTTCCTGCCTTCCATGGAATTGGAAAAAGAACAGCTTGGGCTGTTTGGTGCAGTATGCCTCATCACAAACCGATTTTTGCTCGGTTATCCCATGCTCTAAGCCAGGTATCCCCCGACGACGTGGAGCAAATAGAGAGATATGTTGTTCTTTTGTATCAGCAAACATCAGCACTCAGCCATGTGAATGAAGCCAGGAAGCAGTTGTTCACTCAAAACCGTAAGATGAAAAACATTCCTCTAACGTTGCATGCCCGGGAACGTACAGCATGTGAAAAGGGCTGTTTATCAGGCAGGGCACATCTGGGGACATTCACTTATAGGAGACCCTGATGTTCCATCGCCAGATCTATGGGGCTGTGAGAGAGTGACAGATGATTCCCCATGGACTCTATGCTGGACCACTCTTCCAGAGGCAGGAAAAGCTAGGCATGAACTGTTAAAATGTGGATACAAAAAGTCTTGTACAAAAAGATGCTAGTGTGTCAAAGCAAATCTCGAGTGTACACAGATGTGCTTCTGTTTAGGACAGTGAAACAGAGAATAAGCAAGCAAATCTGATCATATGAGACACTGATAGAGATCATTTAATGTTTTAACATAATACATGATACACCATTGGATTGCTTTTACACGGCATACGCGTGTGCCTTCTATTGCGTGCACTGCGTCTTCATGAAATCTGATGGAACGACGTTTTGGCTGGCGCGCAGGCGTACCTTCCAAAGTGTAACAGAAATTATGAACTGAAGTATAGATGGCATACTTAAGTTTTCATCATAATTTTTCACGTGTTCTACCCAGTTCTTTGACCTAAAAAAAACATTTTAAATTGTATTTGTTTAATTTGAAGATGTATGTTAGGATATTTCATGTTTTCCATCGGGTTCCTTGACATAAAAACAGGTATAGATAACTAGATCCTGGTAATCGTGGCACGTATAGCCATTTCATGGCAAAGAAATGCGTTTGTGGCAGCCATTTTGGATTTAATTTTTTGGCGGGAAGATGTTATGATAGATCACATGTGTTCTATACCCGTTCTATGGGGTTCATTGACCTCAAAAACATATGCATAGCGACCAAGATCATGGTACTTGGGGCACTTACAGCTGATTTATGGGCAAAACTGTGTTTTGTGGCGGCCATTTTGAATTTTCAACTTTTTGGCGGGAAGATTATATCTTATGATATTTGAAATGTGTTTTCTTGCATTCTTTGACTTCAAAAACATAGGTATATACACCAAGATCATGGTAATCGGGCACTTACAGCTGATTTATGGGCAAAAACATTTTTTCTAGCGGGCATTTTTAATTTTAGATTTTTTGGCGGGAAACGTTGGTGTGACATCGTGGTTCCCACAATTTTTGAAATCAGCATACTCAAAACCCCCCTAGAGCAAATTTTCATGCTGCTTTCCAGAGGTGCACACCTCAGACACATATCCGCCCCACTAATACAGGGAATTGGACGTCGGTCGCCGTTGACTGCTAAGATAATTTTCTTCGGCGTTTTTATACGGTCAAAGTGGAGCCGGGTGGGCTGCCAGCCCGTGTGCATGGTAAAATCAGAGATATATATATACATTATTCACTTTTCTCACAGTATCACGACCTGGGTTTCGCGTTATGCCTATATTAATATACAAGGAATTGGGCCTCGGACGTCGGTCGCCGTTGACTGTTAAGATCATTTTCTTTGGCCGTTTTTATACGGTCAAAGTGAAGCCGGGCGGGCTGCCAGCACGTGTGCATGGTAAAATCGGATATATAATATTCACTTTTCTTGCAGCATCACGCCCTGTGTTTCGCGTTCTGCCTATATACACGGAATTGGGCCTCGGACGTCGGTCTCCGTTGACCGCTAAGATGATTTTTTTCGGCCGTTTTTATACGGTTAAAGTGGAGCCGGGCGGACTGCCAGCACGTGTGCATGGTAAAATCAAATATATAACATTTACTTTTCTCGCAGCATCACGCCCTGGATTTCGCGTTATGCCTATATTAATATACAGGGAATTGGGCCTGGGACGTCGGTCGCCGTTGACTGCTAAAATAATTTTCTTCGGCCGTTTTTATACGGTCAAAGTGGAGCCGGGCGGGCTTCCAGCACGTGTGCATGGTAAAATCAGATATACAATATTCACTTTTCTCGCAGCATCACGCCATGGGTTTCGCGTTATGCCTAAATTAATATTGTATTCAGCAAACGGTGGCGACAGGATGCGATACTTGGAATGTGTCACCGTATGCCCGTATTGAATTGACAAGCGGTGACAAACGGTGACCACGTCTTGATGCGACGCTTACAGCATTTGGGACAACAGCGGTGACAAGCTGGACGGCCAGGTGACGCGACGCGTATCGAAATCAGCAGGGACTGAAAATAGGTGACGCGACGCGTAACGACGTGGAACGCGCGTGACAGCATCGCTTGCTGCTTGTCGCCAAGGTCTGGTTTTGCCAAAGTAGTTTCTGCTAGATCCGGTTTCGAGCTGCTATATATAAACAGCAATTGACAAGCAGAAAACATATGAGATTTAAAGGGAGACTGTAGTAAACCGGAGAGAGATCGAGACGAGGCGGCGGAGCTTATAGGCATGGTTGCCTAGGCTGTGCATGGTATTGTATATATTTGTATATGTGTCAAGTAATAAAGTCAATAACTAATCAGCGAAACATCTCTACCATTTGCTAACGAAACAACGCTGCTACGTTCTACGCTGTCGATTCTACGAGAACCCGAAGTCTTCAACTTTTCACAGTACAACATTAATATACACGGAATTGGGCCTCGGACGTCGGTCTCCGTTGACCGCTAAGATATTTTCTTCGGCCATTTTTATACGGTCAAAGTGGAGCCGGGCGGACTGCCAGCACGTGTGCATGGTACAATCAAATATATAATATTCACTTTTCTCGCAGCATCACGCCCTGGGTTTCGCGTTATGCCTATATTAATATACAGGGAATTGGGCCTCGGACGTCGGTCGCCGTTGACTGCTAAGGTAATTTTCTTCGGCCGTTTCTATACGGTCAAAGTGGAGCCGAACGGGCTGCCAGCACGTGTGCATGGTAAATATTCACGTTTCACGCAGCATCACGCCCTGTATATGTACTGGACAGGGTTTATTTTCCGAACATCATTATTGGCACAGGGTTATCTAGACTCTCAGCAAGCAAGCTGGTATTGGTCCAATATTGGCAAAACAATATTTGGCCAATATCGCCAGGCCAATATTGGACCAATATAGGCAAAACAATATTGGGCCAATATGAGCCAATATCACCAGTTCCCTACTGTGATATCCTATCCTACCCAGTTCCGAGGCGAGTGACCCCCCCCCCCCGGAGTAACAAGTGCGTGATTTGGTCACATTTCGCCATAATGATGGACCATTGGCAGAACTACAGATACTGAACGACTGCTCCTCTATTATAAGTTTGCCATGTACTTTATAGTACAGGAGCTAAGGTTTATAATTGTGCATTTTTTGACAAATTGAAGTATGGCACATTGGCACAGGTAGTTTATAGTAATAGTATAGTTTAAGATAAGAAGCTACAAATAGGTTTACACAAGAAAGTAATAATAATTTTAATAATCAGTTTGAGCGAAAAAAAGAACACATAATTATTATATCTGTGAACAAAAGTTTAACCGGAACGATATAAATTCCACAGAAAATATCCTTCGGTTGTACACAACAGTTAATATGGACTTGTATTCCGTCATATATTGGCTCATTAGACCCTAATGTCTGATCTATGTCATCTATGATCATAATGATGGACGTTGTCAATTGCAACCTGGCATGTTATGCCACCTTTTGGGTAGCCTGGTTCCTGATAATTTCCACGTAGCAAAAGACCACGGACAAGTCTAGCAGCACTACCTACTGTAGGATAACAGGCTCTCTAAGTGGTGGAAATTGAATCAAATTTTGCTAAAGGTTGGTTGCCTCAGCGGTCTTTCAATTTAAGTGAACCACGATACAATTTTAACAACGCACAACTCGTGTCCGTGCCACCACGGCTGGAACGAACCAAGCGAAAATAATACTTTTTATTATTAAATAATAAGACATGAGATAACTTATGTAAATAGCATGTTGCCGACATTGTCTTATCGATGATATTTGATAAATTTTCACGATCTACTAATTAGTCTTGCTATGATCACATGTAGACAATGTTATAATTAAACCGGGGTATTGCCAATCAGGGATGTAGCCATTTTCGACGAAGCCGTGTATGGTTTGTATATGGAAGAATGGTTCTCAGAATGTGATCGAAATTATGACCAATAATATTTCTCCAAATAATTATGCGATTGTTGTCTAGCAACCTTTGCGTAGTTCGCGTAGTTTTCGATACGCATATTCGTAAGGTGCCACCGATTGGCTTTATGCCAGCAGAGCTTCCCTCTCCGCTCCGGCAGCGCCCTTTTCTTGTCTTCTTTCTTGTCGCACACTGACGGTTTTAGTCGTGAGAACGAACGTGCAGTTAGCAGGTCAGTCTTGACATTCACGGTGGGTAGCACCTGAGCGATTATGACCAGTAATGTTTCTGCAAATATGTTATCTAGCAACCCTGCGTAGTTAGCGTAGTATGCCTAAAATGTCGTCGTCAGCCACCGATTGGCTTCTTGCACAGCTTCCATCCCTACTCTGGCAGCGCCCTCTTTCTTGTCTTCTTTCCGGTCGGTCCCGGAACGCCACTTTCTTATCTCGCTCCTGTCTATGATGTCCATGGCGGGCAGGCTGTTTTTCGTACTCGTGCGTGATCTGGTGCCGTCGGCCGCGAGTTTCTGCCGAATGGCGTCTGTGCCCGTGGCGCCGATACTCTGCATTCGGTGCCTAGCTCTCAACGCCAGCGACACGTAGCCCCCGACGTTGTAGATGACGATTAGGACGCAGAGCATGATGATGTTGAATGTCAGATTCTCCTAGAGACAACATATGATAGAATCGCGGGTACATGCATAAGGAATCGCGATAGAGCAATCAAGAGAGAGTCATGTTATAGTTCTCCTTCCTATTATAAAGCAATGTATATATGTGTGTCGATGTAAATCAGATAGAGGGCGTTCTTGTGTTTTAACAGAAACTCACAAGATTATATAATAGACGACATACATAATAGACGAGTCACGACGGCGGTACATTTCTGATTTTACTAAAACTGTGTTAGTGTGCTTACAAGCATATTTAATTTTATTCGTCATGTAATCACTAATTTGTGATTATTGTTTTACCCCTTGTTTATACATATGTACACTGTGTTCATCTCGTAGGAATTTATATATTGAATATATATATTTCAATGGACGTTACCTCTTTAAAATGGTACTTATCAAGAACTTCCTGGCCGTCATTATAACACATTTCTGCAGATTCGGGTGGATTTTCGCACGCTATAATGAAACAGAATACATCACAAATGAGGTGGAGTGAAATGGGTAACTTTCGGCATGATCGATTGATATTCTTGCTAATATATTCTATTCTTTCTCTATCATATACTTTATTTGCTGTTTCATCTAAAATGATTATGAAATAAGGAAACTAAAATTAACAGTAGTAATTTTTTTTATTTTACTCTCACCATGCACACGAGACCAAGTAAAACCACTTCTATACAGTCTCTGTATTGTGGTTGAATTAGGTTTTAGTTTTTACACACCAGATTATTATGTAGGCCCTAACCAAAATACGTACTTATGTTGCTGATATCTCTCCACTGATTGATAAAGAGAGCCTCAACGCCGTATCGTAACCATGATATCCACTGCATCCATGACAAATATATTGGGATCGAGCTAAAAACAAAGCCATGTAGAGTAAATATTGATGTGTGATGCTGGGAGCACTCACAGGGAAAAGGAAATTTCGCGTTCCCCCTTCCGTTCCCTTTCTATTTATATCCGCGTCCACTATTACAGAAGATTCTGTACAAATTCCACCTATTTATCGCAACAAATCAACAGGAGTTTCATTTTTAATCTACATCTATACTTATGTATCCTTTTTAAGCAAGAAGGAATATCTTCCTCATTTTCCCAATGCGAAATGAAGACGACTCTTAATAGATAAAAATGGTATATTCGCAATTTTTGAGGCGGTGACTTTATATTTTTATTTATGATGTGAGATGATATATAAACACTTTATCGATTAATTTATTATTTTTATATTTATTACACTATATATTTTTTATCAATAGTAAAGACCTAGAATTTTTTGTAACAATACATCTTTTCTCGAATATTGAAACGCGAGTGCGTATTCGTTTTTTCTGGGACGTGGTAATTATAAAGAAAGTGAAAAAGCAATATAGTAAAAACGTGAAGCTTAGAGAAAAGGTGAGTAGAGAGAAATGATGAGAGAGAGAGAGAGAGAGAGAGAGAGAGAGAGATAGAGAGAGAGCGGGAGGGGGGAGAACGAAAGAAATACTAGCTGAGAATAAGTGAGCGAGTGAGTGAATGAGTGAGTGAGTGAGTGAGTGAGTGAGTGAGTGAGTGAGTGAGTGAGTGAGTGAGTGAGTGAGTGAGTGAATGAATGAGTGAGTGAGTGAGTGAGTGAGTGAGTGAGTGAGTGAGTGAGTGAGTGAGTGAGTGAGCGAGTGGGTGAGTGGGTGGGTGAGTGGGTGGGTGAGTGAGTGGGTGAGTGAGTGAGTGAGTGAGTGAGTTAGTGAGTGAGTGAGTGAGTGAGTGAGTGAGTGAGTGAGTGAGCGAGTGAGTGAGTGAGTGGGTGAGTGAGTGAGTGAGAACGAAGCGGAAAAACGTGGAGAGAGATCGTATATTGCTCCATATCCACGCATTCACGCACAGGCACTTATGTGTCGGTAGTAAGTCAAGGCGTCGCTTACTCTATATTCATAAAAAAGCCAGATAGTATAAACAGCGGAAGGTTCAACGGCGCAAACGATGACACTGCCACCGTGTAACTCGGCGAAGCGCATGCTACCCAGAATCCTGCAAAAAGCAAAATAAACGCGAACATCATAATAATTGTAAGCGTCGATTTCAACATTCCTGTCACGCCTCTGTGATATTTGTGAAGGACATGCAGCGCTGTGCAAACTAATAACATTTACTATTTTATAATAATAGTAATAATAATAACAATTAGGGCTATTATTATTATTATTATTATTATTATCATTATTATTATTATTATATTTATCTTGTCATTTTATTATTACGTATTATTTTACAAAGTATTTTCTAACTAGGAGCTGGTTGAATTCTTTCGACAAACATGCGTTGTTTATTCAACGCGACTCACCAATTCCCGCAGAGGCTTGACATATTAGAATGTATATCCCCAGAGCGACGAAGAAGCTTTCTGCTGTTCGCGACAAACCTGAGACAGAGAGATTGCATTACTTTTCCGGGAAAATACCGTGTATCACGCATGTATATAGACGGGAAGGGGATCAGGAGAAGCAGCCCGAATCTGGCACATGAATGCAGCAGTCATTATCAATCAGCAGTTAATATTAACGCATTTCCTCACAATCCATTTGCTCCTCATGTGTGCGCGTGCGTGGGTGCGTGCGTGCGCGTGTGTGCGGGTGACGTGTTCTATCTGTCTATTATAGCATAAAGTTGTTATGGTTATACCGGGCTATACCACAGTATACTATAGTGATACTGTGATACTGTTACAATTATAATAATTATCTTATGCTTATGTCCTACCTGCCATCCAATATCCTATTCCAACGAGAACAATGGTTTCTACCACGAAGATTAACGCCTGCACAACCACTTGGGATATGCAGTACGCGTCCACTCGATACAAGCCGCTCTCGTGCTCACGGAAGAAAAGTATGGCTTCCAGGGGCAGTGTCTTCATAGATCAAAAGAGCAAGAGACTGAGACACAGAGTGCGAGATACCAAGACAGGGAGAGAAACGAGAGGGAGAGAGGAATGATGACAAAGAAAGAGTTGAGGAAAATCAATCAATCAACTATGAAGCGTTATCAAAGTCATGAAACAAGACGTTCTTGGATTGTATTTGAAATATTGTGAGCTGTGGATTCTCATAAGAATTTAGCCATTCTCTACAATTACTACATACAGTTAGAATGGTAAATGCAGTCGTAAAGGTGAGTTCTGCTGCAAAATTAAACATCACTCCGTTTAGGTTCTGTACTCCTTTCTGGTTGAGCTCCTGATTCAAGTAGACCAGCCCGATCATCAGTGCTAGCGCCTATACGCATAAAACTAGCGTAAACGTCACATTCACACAACAGATCCGTGTAAAAATTCTTAAGGGCCGCAAGGCTCATAATAATTAATAATGAGTGTATATTTCGTTATACGTAAATAAACTATAAATAGTGTATAAATTGATACTTATATAAATATGTACGTACAGAATAACGTGGAGTACCTACCAGTCTTCTGCCGATTCTCACGCCTATCAAGATAGGCACTCTAACTTGACCCAACATAGTTCTCTGAAGTAATATCCACAGCTGCTGCCACCACGATACTTTGTAACGAGGGTTTGAAGACATCGCATTCTCAAACTAAAATATTAAACGCCCGCGCAGCGCTGTTGTTATAATTATCATAAAAATTATATATACTACTAAACACAACTAATTATGTATAGCCGCGCTATATAATTTATATGTAATAGACATTCATACAAATTCGTTGACAAGAAATCCTCCTGGCATGTTAATAGATGACTTTATTATTACACTAGTTAAAATGCGTTTAATAAACTACTACATTATTATAAAATTCTTGAGGTATTGTGTTAGATTTTTTGGTTTTCTTGCCTTAATAATCGCTTGTTTATGACTTCCACATTCAGCGATAGCTCGACGAACTTCGCTAGCACAGTCGGAATTGTCAAATACGTCAGCGGCTTCCTGAAAGAAATCGAGGACGAAGCTAGTTTTCATAACTGATAATTAATTGAAACTGTAAATGCCATTGTTTGCGAACGAAAATTATCCTGGATTGCGCTGGTATATTTGCGTCATTTTGCCACATTGATTTAAAGATTTGTTTGTGTTCATTCACTCTGCGATACCTCTACAATATTCGTTAAGACCTATTGCAGAATATAGGCTTTTTAATTACGAATATTTATTTCTAAATTCGCGGGACGATTTCTTTCTATGCGGCAAATTTTCCAAAAACCGTTTGAAAGCTCTTTTTGACCCATTGAAGATGAACATACTCGTATGAACTCCCTCGATGCACTTTCCTTCCCGGGCACCACGGCCAGCTGTTGTATATAGTAGTCAGCAGGGTTATAATCCTCAGGACAGTGTCTTGATAATCTGTTCAGTGCAACGTAAGGGTTTAAGAATGCCGTAACGGTGGCAGAATACTAATACCCCGTACAGACTGCAAATTTGATCCCACATCAAACTAGTCTGGCCAGGCCTGACGCGCGCTAAACTTGTGCAGTGTGTACACGCTATCCCGCGCTAAATACTCGGTAGTCCAAACTAAGTTAGCCCTGCAAATGGAGGTGGGCCAGGCTCGCTTAGAAGCGCGCTAAGTTAGCCCGTACTAAGTTAGCACGGGCTAAACTGTGTGTGTACGCAATCTGGGGCCATGCGCACGCTATATTTCGCAATATGCATGCGCATAGCCTTATTTAAGTCACATAAAGGTACAGTAACTGTCTGCTGAGTGTCGTAAGAAGCTAAACTGAGCATGCGCAGTCAACCCATGTTAACTTAGCGCGGTTCAATATTTTGTGTCTGTATGCTGCGAGTTAGCGTGCGCCTAGCGCGGGCCTGGCCAAGATTAGTTTGATTTAGGATCAAAATTTGCAGTCTGAACGGGGTATTAAAGGATAATCAAACATAATAAGTTCGTCTTTACATATCAGTGTAATATTCACGTTATCACGATGATCACAGCTAAGCTACTGATAAATATGTAATATATTGATTAAAAAGCCATTTTGGTTTGTTATTTTAATCCCCTAAATCCTTGTCATTAGGATTCATGTATTTGTGTATGTTCAACTGATATATATACCTGCTGAAAAACGGCAATGCGTCTTCTCGTGCTCCTAGGAACACCGTCCTGCCTTCTGCTAAGAGGAGCAGTCTGTAGTGATATAGAATTATCAAAAGTGAACGAATCGTCAGCGCAGATGCAGTTCATGAAATGCAGTTAAAAGTCTAAATAAGCGTGTTGTCGTGTACCCGGGGGAGGGGGGGGGGCACTCCCATTGTTAAAGGTACTGGGGACGTGCCGCTGGACAGGGTATATTTTCCGAACATCATTATTGGCACAGGGTATATTTTTCGAGCATCATTATTGGCACAGGGCTGATCACACCCATCAAGCTGATATTAGACCAATATTGGCAAAACAATATTGGGCCAATATCACCAGGCCAATATTGGACCAATATAGGCAGATATTGGTTCAATATCGGCCCAATATTAGCAAAAAAAAACAATATTGGACCAATATCACCAGGCCGATATTGGACCAATATCTGCCTATATTGACAGGACAGGACATGTGCAATATTGCAGCAGGGTATACTTTTTAGGGCAGTATATTGGGACAGGGTGTATTTTAGGGCGCAAAGCGGTTTGCGACAGGGGCAGGTTTTCAAGGTCCCGGAGGCACCCCCCCTACCCAGTTCCGAGGCGAGTGCCCCCCGGCTCGAGTACGTACATCTCTCTCTCTGCACACATCGAATCTGCAAGCCAGCGTCGCTATTCAATCGCGATATAATGAGAATTAAATGCTATTAATAATTCGCTCGACAGGCTGGCTCGGATAAGTGTCACGATGATGCTGGCGTACGAAAATCTTACCTGTCGAACATCGTGAACACCTCTGACGACGGCTGATGGATGGTGCAGAGTATCGTCTTGCCGTGAGATGCCATATCTCGCAGCACGGACACAACGTTCTGTGCCATGTAGGAGTCAAGACCCGTGGTCGGCTCGTCGCAGAACATCAGCGGTAGATTGGTAATCATCTGCCGAACGCACGTACGAGATTCTATGATGTACGTCAAGGAAGCATAAGCACGTGCGGGTATGCGCCCGCGTGCATGCATGCGTGCGTGTGTGGGCGGGGCGCCCCCCCTCGAGCCCGTTCGCGTGACTGCGTGTGTGTGTTTGTGTGTGCGTGCGTGCGTGCGTGCGTGCGTGCGTGCGTGCGTGCGTGCGTCCGTGCGAGCGTAACGGTGTGATTCCGTGTGATTTACAAGCACGTGCGCTCGTACGTTGGTGGTCGTGCGTGGGTGAGTGTGTGTGTGTGTGTGTGTGTGTGTGTGTGTGTGTGTGTGTGTGTGTGTGTGTACGTAGCACGCGTGTCTGCTAACTCCTACTCCGCTATTCGGGTAATGCGGCGCGAGGTTTTTAATTTAATTGAAATGTGATTATGATGATTGAAATTAATAAAAGCTCCCCATGATTTCGTCATTATATTGATACTTGAATTTCTCTAGCCGCTCTAGCCTCCTAGCTATATTAAGAAGAAACGTATAATATTACCTCGGAAGCAAACGAAAGTCGCTTCATCTCTCCGCCTGAAATACCCTTCCTTCTCGGGGAGCCAATAACCGAGTCAGCACACTTCCTCAGTCCGAGCTAAGAAAATCGTTGGTCATGGACAGCTTTAATTAGTCGAGAGCATATTTGGCGTGTGACTATGGATGATCGTTCGATTATTACATACTAGCCATTATTGCCTACTTTATATTATTACCTACAATTAATTACTCCAGAGATAAATAATCACCCTGTGCATGACTTGTTGAAGGTTGATTGAAACCGTACACGGTACATATGTGGAATCGGAATTGACGGAACCAAAGTCAAAACATTTACCTCCACCAATAACTTGTCTGCCCTGTCCACCTTCTGTTTATGGGTGAACTTATCTCCCATTCTCAACAAGGCCTAGAAGCACGGAATGCCACACGATAAGACTCACGTATGTACAATAGCTATTTACTTTTCCGGATTGGCTCTCAACAGTGCTAGCATCGCGTCGAATCACGATTATGAAAATATTTTTGCAAATTTCAAATAACGATTTAATTCTACTCGTCGTATATAATCTTTGCTATCCCTTATGGCAATAGATGAAAGCGCTACTACTCATGCCGAAGAGAGAATACAAAGCCCACTCATGTTTATTTGCAGTTTTTCATGTTATAAGCTACTGTATATTTCGCAAATGTGGAGTATAATATTAAAAGTAACCTTGTTGATTATCGTAAAAACGAATTGGCAATTCTTTTACATTTGTGAAGCGTAGTTCAACGCACGCGCGCATAAGTACCGGCGGATGTCACTAATAAATCAATCAACAACTAACACACCCAACACAACCAACACACAAACAACACAACAACAATACTACTTCTACTACTACTATTATTTCTCTACTATCATACTACTATAATATAATAATATATAATAATAATTATATTATTGATTTGATTATTATCTATAATAATAATAATTAATAATACTAATATAACTTATCATAAATCATGAAGTTCAAATATACTGGAATTCGGATTGTTCCTCGTAAGTGTGTGATTGAACAAGTTCTGTTTGCACTTATCGTCTAAAGTATTACGTTGGCGCCTATATCTTCACCGTTTATTTTAATGGCTCCATCGATGATTAATTTGGTATTGTTACGATAAGTGAGCGCATTCATAATGGTCGACTTTCCAGCTCCACTGAAATATACGGAACGCCGGAATGCAGCTGATGAAACCAATGGTAACGAATGCCATAACTGACGCTCCGAATTTCTAAACGTGAGACGGATCTGCCGCGCGCTAGTTGACGGATCACTAATCACTAAAGCCATTAATTTAGCAGATTTTCTAAATCTATTACTCGTCAACACATCGCAGTATATTGCTCCTGTTGGAATATCATACAACTGATTTATTTGTGTAAATCATAATATCGAGAAAAAAACATTTTCGTAAAATAGTTTTACACTACTATGTATATCTAATACATATTTGTGGAATATATAACAGGGTTAATTTTTATTTTGACCGTTGAAGTTTAAACGTTACGCTTCGTTTCGCCTCCTGCAGGGGCTTTCTCAAAGCTTAACTGATGATTATCAGTTTTTACAACCAGATGGTGGTGGCTCAATAGTTATCCACGACCAAGTTAAGGGTCTTGATCCATAGAGACTGATACAAGATTGGCGTGGCCAGCTTTGCTGTTGATCCTGAGCGTGGCAGCGGTGGCGACGGCGCAGGTTCGTGGGATATGCTGCACGCGACCGCGGGAGTTCAATTATGAAGTGTCTGTCGATGGAGACGTGCGCCTAATTTCCGAGGCCGCGGCCGTTCCCAGCGGTAGCGTATGGTTTGTAGTTTTAGAAGATAACAATGAAGACTTTGTTCTAAATAAGAACTATCGGAGGCTAAATAAGAGCAATATACAGACCTTTGAATTTCATAACTAGTCAGTCAAAGGGCTTGTTGGGGGTCCATTATGCAGAGCTTCCAATTGAAATGGCCCATGAAATTGTCAAGTGGAATTGTATTTTCGGAACCCCAAAGAAAATGTCTCTCTCTTACATGCACCCCCTCCCTGATCAATCACGCATTCAGACGTAAACAATAACAGAGATGAAATTGTGTTGAGTTTGTGACTCTTGACGCACGTGCATTGACGTACAAGACTGTTGAAAGCACAGGCACTTGGAACGTCTCAATAAAAATAAATATTCACACTATTTCTCACAATGATCGACCGCCTGTGTGCAAAATAGGTGAACGTATGGGAAACATATACGGTTAGTGCTTACTGTGACATATCCGTGACTAACTGACACCACTAAATTGGTAAAATGTTCCATGCACCTTAAGAAATGCTGAGCAATTACGAGGTTATCATCGCAGAACTCCCGAACACCGTACGTCACAAAGCTATATGTAAACAAACACGCGTGTTGCGAGGTGCCTGCCTCCGATATCCATTTCGAGGCCCGCTAAAGCCAAGCATAAAGCGTGCGGGCAAGACGTCGCACACACAGCTACGTTCATTGGCAAAAACAATCGAGTAGCGCGGTTAAGGATTTTCGGAATTATTTAATTTGAAGAAAAACTTCAATATTCAATGAACGACGCACTCGTTCACTTCCGACAGCAAGTGAAAATGCCGAAAATGTTCCACTTCGATGCGAAATGCATCGGCCGGGCATTTCATTATTTACGAAAAGTAAACAGGCTGGCGAAAGACAGTCGGTACAGTAACTGGTCACGTCGGTGACGCCCCATTCATGTCCATCAACGAAGAAGGCGGGGCTTGTTCTGATTACGGAGATGCGAAAATGCAACGGAAGGACGTAGCACAGTGGGCTATACAGCGTGTTATTTTCGTATTTGTGGCAAACTCTATCGTAGGAAACCGTTCTAACATAGCAGAATGCCCTAGGTCCTGAGATCGGCGATTTGGTGGTGCAATGGGTTCCCATCTTTAAAAATATAAAAGACTGGTGCGGCCTAGGCTGGGATTGGAAGACACAAAGTGTCAATCTTCGGCACGCCTTGGCATCATGGCCGATTTCGTCCAGATGGCCTCCTTAATACAACGCCTGATTTTGATTGGCTCGCGATCGATGATCTTCGAATTCTCCCAATCGATGGTGTGATTGTCCTTCACTACGTGGTCAGTGATCGCGCATTTGGTAATTTCGGTAGACTGTTTTCGTTGGACCCTTGTGAACGATTTGGGTGCTACGGTGTCTACGTCCTTTTTGTGTTCTTTAAGGCGGGCTTCAAATTTTTGGCCGTTTCTCTAAATTTTTTCACACATTGCACACGGTATCTTGTAGTAGACACAGTCCGTAAAGTTGTGCATATCTGTTCTGTCCTTAGGCCCGTTAGGCTGTACCAAAAGCCGTTTTAAAAAAGCGTCTCAAACGGTCTAACTGTTGAAGCCACACCTGCATTTTTTAGGTGACGTTGACCTACGTCCGTGACGCCTCTGACATAGGGTAGGACAATCATCGCCTTCGGTTTCTCCGTGAAGGTTTTCTTATGGGATGTTGTTTTGACCCGTGATGTGATTCCTTGGACACTTTTTCGAGTGTCCAATTGGGGGATACAGGCTTAGTCACGTGTGGACTAAGCTATTGACCACCACACCATCTGGTGGTCAAAACTGATAATCATCAGTTAGCTTTGAGAAAGCCTCCTGGCAGGAGACGAAACGTAAGCGTTACGTTTCCAATCTTCACGGTTGAGTAAAAATTAACCCTGTTTTATATTGTAAGCGGGCGAAGCCCACACGCCACAGAAAGCGAGGGCGATGCGGGGAAACGCAATCTTGGCGCCTCAGTGTCGGAAGAGATGTCACAACAGGCTGTGAGTGGACGCTAGATCAAGCAAGCCGGAACGCGGAAGGGGAAGCAATAGCCCAAACCCACGGCTAAGGTT